GGGGTCACCTGACGGGTCACCTGACGGGTCACCTGACGGGTCACCTGACACCTGACGGGTCACCTGACGGGTCACCTGACACCTGACGGGTCACCTGATGGGTCACCTGATGGGTCACCTGATGGGTCACCTGACGGGTCACCTGACACCTGATGGGTCACCTGACACCTGACGGGTCACCTGATGGGTCACCTGACGGGTCACCTGACGGGTCACCTGACACCTGACGGGTCACCTGACGGGTCACCTGACGGGTCACCTGACACCTGACGGGTCACCTGATGGGTCACCTGATGGGTCACCTGACACCTGACGGGTCACCTGATGGGTCACCTGATGGGTCACCTGATGGGTCACCTGATGGGTCACCTGTCCGTCGCAGGACAAACCACACTCGCCTAGGGAGAATGAGAGACCAGTTAACCTGACATGGTTCTGGACCAGTCGGAAGCCGGAGATCCAAACAGAACCAGCATGAAGGGAAAACATGGAGGAAAAACTCGGGCCGGGAATTGAACCCACGACCTTCAGGGCAACAGTGCCACCCACTGCACCACTGTGCAGCCCCTCCCCCCCCACCTAATATTTCTGCTCTATTTTCTGGTGAAAATATTTTAATGTATTTGAAAAAAGGCAAAACTAAGTTCCGTTACCGAGTTTTGTTAAAATGTCTTGTTACAAGTGAAATAATCATTTTCCACTTGTTAGTTTCGTCTTATTTCTGATGTACTGAGATAATTAGAAACTGAACTAAAATACTTAGTAAGATTTTGCGGTTTTGCAGTGTCCAGTAATGTTGAGTAAATTTTCACCAAGAAACTGAAATTTCCAAATTAATTTCAAATATTTAGAAATGCTTTTTTGGATTTTGATTGACTTGGAAAATTTGTAAATTTGGAAGAAAAAAAATTAAAGATTAAAAAAGCGTAAATATATTTTTAAACTAGAGTAATCTCTGACTATTTTCTAATGGCCGTTATTTTAGGAAGGTGACGATATCCTAATCTGAAATCAGACGTTTCTGCCTTGTAATCAATTAATATTTTACATTTTCTCGCTAATTTACAACTTTTTGACATCAGTTTTTATTTCTTGTAAATATGTGAAGCTAATTTATAAATTTCAGATTTTTTGGTGTAAATTTTCTTCAATCTAAAATCATCCTGATGCTTGTCCTGAAGGTGGTTTAGTGGTAGCCATGGTAACCCCTGACCTCTGACCTGTCCTGTAATGGAGGTTTTAGTTTTTCTAGAAAGCTGTTGAATGTTTGGTGGAAGGTAGAAACCTGTCGTGTCCAGCCTCCGTGGTAAAGCATGCTGTAGCTGCTGGTGTCTCTATATCCTGCTGTGTGTTTTCTAGCACAGAAACTTTATTTTGGCGTTCTGAGCAGGAAGTTGCACTTTGCTGGTTGTTTCCTCACCAGGAGATGAATGTAGCCGACAATCAGCTCCGTTTGGGTCGGCAGGAGCCCAAACGGGTCGCTGACTGGCTCTGTTCAGAGAGGCCGCTGGGTTTCCATGTTGTGTTTGTGTCGTGTGTTCTTCCCTCAGCCCGGTTCGGTCCGTTTGGACCCGGCTGGGAGGAGTAATCTCTAGTTTGGTGCCTTCGCTCCAGAACTCTGTAGTCTGTGAAACACTGTGAGGAGCTGCAGTCTCTGTCCCTGTCATGATGTTCGATGGATTAAAGAACAAACATGAGACCAAACTCACCGCCGGGTTCTGAGTCATTTGGGTTTCTGTGAACGTCTGCAGGTTCTGAAAGGTTCTGGTCATTTTAGTTGAACATGAGGCTTAAAGCTGAGGAATCGTCCAGCATTCCTGCAGGCCACAGGCCTCTGACCAGTGTTTCAGTACATTTCTAATCAGTTAAGTGTCTGATGAGCTTTCAGCCATAAAGAAGGAACAGAAACTGAGCTTTGATAAATTCCCCTCTACGACTTCAAATCCCTTTTTATTGAAATTAAAGCAGAATTTAAACTTTAATTCTTCCTTAACATTTTCTTAAAGGTGCAAATGCAGATCGCTCATAATCTTCTGTCGGCTGTTTTCCAGAGTTCCAGCTTCAGAGATCCAGCAGCTGAGATTGAGTCCAAAATCCGATGAGATCCATCCGAGCTGCAGTGAATCCGGTGTTCTGTCAGATAGCCCTACGCTGTCAGGATAGCACACATGCAGTTAGTAGCATGCCCG